CCATTTACTTGAAAAATTTCTGAAGTTTGACCTCGATTTTCTCCTAAACGCTCCAAAAATTTTTCGAGATTTTTTCACGATAGGAACTACTTAGTAGGATATATAACTCTGTCCATACAGTTATAGATATATCCTACTAAGTAGTTCCTATCGTGAAAAAATCTCGAAAAATTTTTGGAGCGTTTAGGAGAAAATCGAGGTCAAACTTCAGAAATTTTTCAAGTAAATGGAGCGTCACTCACTCGAATGTAAAGTTAGATCAAGACCAAATTCCTTCACTATTAGAATCAACTCGTCAAGAGCTACAATTTGTTGTATAATTATGCAATGTTTCGTTCATTTTCACCGACTTCCGTTTCATCCTCACCAAAAACTTCAGGTGTCTAGAAAACCACTTTCTACACGTTTTTTCAAAAAAGCGTGAGCGAGACCTTTAGATTATTTTTGATGCTTTACACGACGGGCAAATTGAATTTTTCGCGGCTAATAGTGAATGTAATAGTGGGCGGATCTGTGTGGAAGCACCCTCACACTAGTGCGTTGTTTTTAAAAAACCGTCATATACAAAACTTTTGGTTTACAATACACTCTTACAGATTCTAGTGACCGTTCTTACCTCGCTATTGGATTGTGAAGGCGCACTCTCATTTAAATTAACAGTGAATGCTACTGGTGTTTGTGCACGATTTCGTGCTCTAACATTATATAATTCTTGAACATTAACAGAATCACGACTGCGTACTGCGCCCGATTGCGGTAAATTTGGCATACTAGGCTCTTCGAGTACAAACGTATTTCGCCTTTGTAATCCCATGGTACCCATTTCGGATTCACGGTTTTGAGATGAAACGCTTGACTGTTCTGCACCACTTCCTCTTCCACTACCTCCGCCACCAAAAATAGGACGATTATCTCCACCTAATGACGGCGCAGCAGTAGTTGAGATAGTTCGTCGTTGTTGAGCTACAGGTGGTTGCGACTGTGTTGCCCGAACGTTAGATGATTCAAATGGATTTGGGCCAAATATCGATGATATTTGTCGCACAGGTGTTTGTCGACGATTGGTAGTAGGTTCATTGGTTGCCCACGATGCTGTATAAGATGTTCGAGGAATAGATAAATTAAGATCGACAAATGGATTATCCGCGCTGCCTTGAAAAGGATTATGGGCGTGTCTTAAACTAGGCGGAGGTGGCGGACGTCGTGCCGAAGAATAGTATAAATCTTCGAGATTACGCCATTGATCGTTCATAAGTTGCGGTGAGGCAAATGAATTAGTTATTGAATTCGTATTGGAATAAAGAGGAGCTGAATGAGAATGTTGATTTGACAATTGCCGTGGCTGTTCATCGGGATTAATTAGTCGACCAAAATCTTGAATTGTTCTGGAGATGTCGGTTTGATTATCGAATATCAAACGCAGCTGGAATAGACAAAAAAAAATAAACTATAAATAATAGTCGTTAAATCAGTAGCACTGTGATACTCCTATACCTGATGCCTTAGTCCTTTTTCTCTAAGCTTTCTTCATCAAGTTAACCGAACAATAGCACCAACGATATTGCTTGAGGTATGTATATATATATATGTGAAATACTTGCTTGCCTGAAATATAGGGGGGTTTAGGTTAGATTATTGAATACAAAACGACAGACATTATAATATAAAGAGTAAAACTATGCAGCCGCGTTGCAGTGCTGTTGGACGATTAGCTTAATGAACAGGCTAATTACAAGACGACTTTTATATTCACCTACCTTTTGAACATCAGTTGGAATTTGATTACGAAGAGATTCGATTTGCTCTGCATAACGATTACATTGCAACCTCATGTTCAATAAATCAGAATCAGCAGGAGTTTGATTGCTAAAGTCATAAATTAAACACTGAAGGAACTATAAGTTAGTATAAAAAATGTCGTGCTTACTTTGTCAATGAACTCTCAACTGATTCACAAAAACTGACAACGCTAGCCAATTCAACTTCAGCACTTTCTTTTTGCAAACGAAATGTTCTAGAAATAACAATCCATCTATTAACGTGATACTATGGAAATTACTTACGTTAGCATAGAGTCACGATATACCTCAACTGAGATTGCATGTAAACTTCCGCTTCTGTATGTAAAGCGGCTTCTCGATGTTTAAGCTCATCGATCAACGTCTGCACTGCTGCACCGATTTCTCTCGCCACTTGTTCGTGATTTGATTGAACCTGGTGGACACGTTGCTCATAGTTTCCTATTTTAGAGAAAGTCAAGAACTGATCAATATAGAAAGCAAAAAAAATTGATTAGATTTGATAGAATTTGAAATTTGATTTGACTACCTATTTTTTCACTTAATTTTGGTAAACTGCGCCTTATTTGACTAACTAATTGGCTTATATTATACGAAGCTTCACGTAAATGTCCTTCTTTACAATCGGAACAAATAAATTTTGAACAATCGTTACATTTGACAATAACTAAGGAGAAAACAAAACTATTATGTTGTCTTTGTATTTGTAACTTGCGCGGAATAATGGTATACCCTGCTTTTTTTCTTTGCAAATAAAACATTGATCCGGCGTCGAATTTTGTTGTTGACTATTATTTCGATTTTGTTGTTGTTGTTGTTGTAGATCGATAAAACCAATCATTGTTAGATTATTGGCAAACGACCTGACACCACCTATATTTGAATAAAAACATTTTATGCTCAGTCATCGTCATAACAATCTCAAGACAATAACTAACCCGACGGTATCACATGATCTTGACGACACTCGGGACAACGAAGTGTTCGCGCACGCGGGTCAACCAAATTCGAGAGACACGGCGTTAAACAAAACGTGTGCATACATGGAAGTAACTTAGGTATACGAAATCGATCCAAACAAACGGGACAAGTAGTCAAACGATCTATTTGAGAAGCGCTGTAACTTAACTCGGCCACAGCCATTTTACAGAGTTGGTAAAATATCACTCGGTTCTAAATATTAATCATGAACATATCGCGTAACGTAAAGCTAAAAGCCATAATACTTTAACGTCGTCATAGAATCATCCTCTATGTATTCGCATGGTGACGTTCAATAAAAGTAAATTCAGCAGATGACAGACATCCACTGTTGCATTTGGCAGAAGCAATCACTGTTTACTGCGTTCACATTTCTTCAAAGAGTCGAAAGAATATTCATCCCTTCTGTGCGATAGAGTTCGCTATCGTTCAACAGTTATTTCTTATAGGCTCACTAAACGTAAGTATACGACATTTGACAAAGAAACATTGACAAACATCGTTAATCTAGAAGTAGGGAATCTAAAAGACTTGACTATCAAAACCGAAAAAAATACATTGAAACAGCATATATTAAAACACCTTCTACATTGACTTTGATATTTGTGTTCTGTAATGGATTAGTGGTATGAATGTGATAAATAGGAAGAGATTAGGAAATTTTTGTTTTTAAAAGTATAAAAAAAATTGACTGTTTTCGTTAGACCTCAATGGTATTGAGGGAAAACTAAGTGGAAATTTTATGTAACACTTGAATTCATCCGTTAACTTTGTTTTCTGTTCTAATCCTCTAGCTTATAGGAATAATTATGTTTAAGTTAATAATTTCTCTCTTTTATTTTTGTTCTCTTTCTGCCGCATTAGTAGGGAGTTCTTTACTTAAGTATCAGTATTGCCGAACATGCTAGTTCATTTATCCAAGCGCGTTATATTTGATTAAACATGCAATCAAAATTTTGTGTTCAATCGAATTTTACTAGATACATGTTGCTCGTCGTTTTGTTCTTTCCTTTATTTCAAAATGTGCAATTGAATCTTCGTAGAGAAAAAAAATCTCTCTTTTTGTTATTAAATCATTGATATATTTGTCAAGTAGTTCGCTGTTTTACTACAAAAAAATATTCTTCATGTCTGATTGTATCCATCTACAGAATATTTGTGAGAACGGATAGCATGTTGATTTGAAGTGAAAGTGAAAGTTCTCTCACTTAACAACATTCTGAAGGAGCAATAATTCGAAAAATAAAGTTTGACAGGCACAGCTCTAATCGATTTATCGAGTAAAGTCAATAAAAATAGATTTACTTTTTCATATCACAAACAATACGCCCCTTCTATAGGGAGAAAATCTTTTTATTTTACATTCCATTCTAACGAATACTTCAGCTAACATATATTAGATCAAATAATGTTCGAAAAATACTTTTCAGTTGTCTGCCTGTAACCATTCCGGATATTCGAAAAAATAAAAGGCAAAATACATCCCAAAATGCTCGATCTCACCGAATTTAAGAACTGAATTTCTGTCTTTTATCTTTTTTACTTTTATCGTGTTTAAAAGTTAAAATATGTAGACATCTCGAAAAAGTTTTTATAAAACCTAAATTTTTGAAGAAATTAGTTCATTTGTTAAGACGTTTTTGGTGCAGTAAATCAATCCCATATTTACGAATAAATGATATGTTGATCTTCTCAATGCCTCATTCTAAAGAGGACACTTCCCTCTACCTAGCGATGTAGTTTGTCAAAAATAGACTGGATTTTGTACGTATAGAGAGTTCGAGAAATGTTCAAGGAAACATCTAAGAACCTACCTAAGGAGACGCATTTTGAAGGCAGATTTATGTATTTACTTGTAATAGCCTTTAATTCTACTGTGATGGTTCTCCTTTATATCTCTTCTATTTCATACAAGAGACCATTAAATAAGAAGATAAGTAATAAAATTAGCTTTAATTCCTACTGGTTTGAAAATCCTGATTTTATAAAAAAAATTTTTATTTGAAATGTACTATTATTAAAACAACAGACTGAGTATAAATTTTACTTCTATACTATGGAGAATAGTTCTCTTTGCTATTTGACAGTCTCTTTATTGCATTAATCATTATCTTCTGAGTTTATCTTTTTCAAATTGTATATGAGAAGGTAGTATAAATAATCTTTGGTCGCTTTCAATGGATAGTGTCCATTCAAAGTCACCTTGAGTGAAGTGCTGATTCTTTTCGCATATCTTATGTCTGTCGATAATAATATTTTCGATCGATAAAATGTAATAATTCTCTATATGTATAAGGAGAAAAAAGAAAGTCAGAAACAAGACTTTATTGATTTCTCTTCTATTTCTCTTATTTATGTTTTCCCATAGATATATAGAGATATTTTGACTCTTATTTCAACACATGATGTCGATTTTTCTAAGGTCGTTTTTTTCTTCTATATTTCTTTTCCTATTCACAATAATGTAATATATTATTATTATCTCAAAGCAAGCTACATAACATAAAATGCTCAAACAGCACAATGCAATGTGTGTATGTGTATATTATTTATTTTTTCTGTTCCTAAGAACAGAAGAAGAAAAATTAGTAATTTTTATAAATCGTGCATTCTCTCTATTTACGAGAACTTTTTTTCTGATGCTACAGTTAGCGTGTATGTGTATATGTGTGCTTTTTTTTAAATATAGTTGAATTTTTAAAATGACTCGTTTCTGTTTTTTTTTTATTATTTATTTATTTATTTATTCATTAAACAATGGCAATAGTTTTACAAAGAATTAATGATTTTAAAAAAACAACAACAAAGTAGATAAATCGATACAGCTGATTATTATCGATTTTTCTATTTGAACCATCAATAGAACGTGGAAAAAAAGAATGAATTTTCATCAAATTGTTTATCTAAATCAGAGTTATCAATTTAGTTGTAAGTATCTTAGAAGTACTAAAATTTTTAAAAATAGATACAGAAAGACAAGCTAGAAAAATGAAATAGCACATATTTTCAAATTGTCACCGTAAAATATGCAAACGAAATTAATTGATTACTTGTGTTGTTTTCAACAGACAAATATATATATGGATAGTTTCTAGTGTTGAAAGAAAAACTAACGTAATATTCTAATTAAGTACCTAGGTATGAGCAAACTACTGACGTACATACACATACAAACTCAATTTAGTATCTCGTTGTCGTTCATTTCTTTCTTTACGATTGAAAAACATTGTTTCATTCATAGCCTCAGGAGATTTCGTCTTATTTTCTTTATTTTTTTCTATAATTTAATCGTGACACAAATAGTTCACTAGAATTAATATCAGTCTTTTAACCAGGACGAAATAACTAAACATGTACATGTGCAAAAGATATATAGTAGAGTACCATGGACATTTTTTTTTTTTTGTTGAAATTTTCATTTTAACAAATTTTTAGTAGAGGAAAAATTTTTGTTTCTACTTGTCTAAATTTTTAATACTATTATTGTTATTTGTTTTCCACGTTTATTTAAATTATATTTTGATTTTAAATCACGTTAGTCTAATAGATAAAAAAAAAAAAACACAAAAACAAATTAATGACATAACGATGTTGTTCTTTTTTTATTAAAATAAATGTTGTCTTTATCTTAATGATAGACATGATATTGTTATATATGTCATCAATTACATAAAAAGATATAAACATGATCTTGATTTATCGTATCATCATTAGTTCGTTGACATCTGGAAATCATTTCATTTGGTACTAATGGAATAAGTTGGAAATAGAGTACATATCAAATATTTATTTGATTTACCATAATGGAGACTAGAAGTTTGTATATAAAAATTTAAAAAAAAAAATTATTTAGTTTAGAAAATATGAATATAATAAAGACATAGATGTGTAACATATTGTTCAAGTAGAATATGATAACAATATATGTTTAATACTATAATTTAAAGAAATATTATCATTGTTTAACATGAACATCGACTAACTTTATACAAATGATATATTACAACGTAATGAAAAGTCTTCGTTATGCTTGATAAGAAAAAGAAATATAGACAGACAACTGTCATTATTTATTTATCCATCTTTAATACTAAAAAAAGGAATTATAAGTGAAATAACATCAAGCAAAAAAATGACAGCACCACTTCTTCTATTTATCTAAAAGATGTATCCTACTGCGATAATATCTCATCATTATAGAAAAAAATAAAAATAAAAGTTACACAAAATATTGAGAGAAAGAGAAAGAGAGAGAGAGGGAGAGCTTTATTTATTTTATATGCAATTATTTGTTTAATATAAAAAAGAAGCTGATTAACAGGAGATCTATTTCAATGTTTGAACATCCGTGATCACAGGATTCTTTCTAAATGCAAAACTAAAATAATTTCATAAGTTAATTCTATACATCGACATATACAATACATCCGGTAGTCTGTGATGATTAATATTTTATTTATGAAAAGATCCATCCTTAAAAAAACGTATTATCGAATATTTCAATTGGCTTAATATTGTTAGAAAAAAAAATGAAACATCGCTCTTTTCTTCTTTTTTAACAAATAATTTTTTCATTTTTAAGATTAAATCATAGTGTTTTATTTGTAATGTCATGTCGCACATATTAGTTATTGAAAGATCTATATTAACACATTTTTGTTTTTTAAAGTCAAATTTTAATAGTCTAATCATATTCCATATCCAACACATTTTAAATATAAATAACCAATTTTTTTTTTTGTTTCATGAACTAACAACCATCATGAAACAATTACATCTTTAATTAACTTCCTTTCTATAACAGTTCTTTTTTTTTTTTGTCTTTTGTAGCGTATTCATTGAACTAAATTCAACTTTTCTTTCATTTGCCAGAAACGTATGATACTTTTTTCATTAGGAGTGTAAATTAAACGGATTTTACTTACATTAGATTAATTTTTCAAACACACTATAGGAATAAAAAAAGAAGAAATAGAGAGAATGGAAAAAGAAAAGAAATTTTTTTTTTTTTTTTTTTTTTTGTTGTTGTTGAAGTATTGACACGGTATGCTATCGTGTTTTCTACTCTATAAAGATGAGAAAAAGAAATTAAATTGTATGACATGATCTGTCGGAATTTCTCCTGATATTTGACCAAACAATATAAAAATACAGTAGGATTT